CACCTGCAAAGGGCTGAATGTACGGAAAACCTGTAAGGGCTCCCTTCGCCCTGGAAGGAATTGCTACTCACATACACTTTAGCAGCAACTCTAATGACCGCATAAAAATTGTACCTGAAAAGAGAATAACTTTTTTTTTTAGTAAGGTAAATCCTATTTTACACTGTTCCCTTGGACATTTACAGGCCAGATACATAAAACCACGGTAAAATGTCCGACCACATGGAAAGATGATCTGCGCACCAGTGCAACCCGCACGCATTGGAAAGCACAGTTCTTGAGCTCAGCGTTGCACCCAGTTCTCACCTGGCTGATCTGATTTCTGCTGTGTTTGGCATCATTGCTTTGCCCATTTTTAATTCCATGTCTGGTTCTGGCACAGGTTCCTTAGGAACAAAAGGCTCCTAAGAACATGACGCATATATCTGCTTGTTATCCAACTGCTTCTTTATCCAGCTTTTCAACCAACTTCACATGAGTTTAACAGGGCAAAACATCACTCAAAAGACAGTCAGGCTCTGCAAGCCCCATGCAGGCAGATGCTGGCCATGGGCTCCTCCTGAAGAGCTTTTTCTCCTGTATTTGCAGAGCACCACTCCAAACACAGCAGAGATTCCGAAGCTCCGTAAGAAGCGCTCCTTGTGCTATGTGTTAAGCAATTGTATTTTCACCCCAGCTAGTTTGCCATGCAGTAAGTATAGATAGAGTCATCTTTGGTGCAACATAACCATAGTTTTAAACCTAATGATGCTTTTTTTCCTGTACAGAAAATAACATAACCTGAATTGTTTGCAAAGTGATGAAACTTTTTTAAAAAATGTTTTATTTTGGTTTTGATTAAGCAAACAATTCTCAAGTGATGGCTGCAAGCAAGGTTAAAACAGCATATAGGAAAGTACAGGAAACTAATGATAGACAAATCACAGACTCACAGGAGAGCTGAGGTTGGCAGGAACCTCTAGAGACCATCTAGCCCAAGCCCCCTGCTCCAGCAGGGACACTCAGAGTACGTGGCACAGGGTGTCATCCAGGTGGGTTTGAAGATCTCCAGAGAAGGAGACTCCACAGCCTCTCTAGGTAGCCTGTTCCAGGGCTCTGTCACCCTCACAGGAAAGAAGTTCTTCCTCACATGGAGATGGAACTGCCAGGGATTCAACTTATACCCGTTATCCCTTGTCCCGTCACCGGCCACCACTGAGAAGAGCCTGGCCCCATCCTCTTTACATTCTCCCCTCAGGTACTTGAAGACGTTAATCAGATCCCCTCTCAATCTTCTCTTCTCCAGGCTAACCAGGCCCAGGTTGCTTAGTCTTTTCTCGTATGATAGATGCTGCAGTCCCTTCATCATCTTTGTTGCTCTACGCAGACCCCTCTCTAGAAGCTCCACGTCCCTCTTGTCCTGAGGAGCCCAGAATTGCACACAAACCCTTGTGTTTATGTCAGTTTCAATGTTATTATCAGTCCATAAGTACAACAGTTTGTTAGGGGAATACTGTATTTCCAGAACGAATGATTGCTCCCCAAATCTCCAAACCACTTTTGTTCCATCTTGCTAATATCCAAAACTCTCTCTGGGATGACCACTACTCTTTACAGCCATTCTGCACTGTTTTTCCCTATTTCCAACAAGCAGCAAGAGCAGAGTCCCTGGCAGCTGCCACGAACACTGCACCCACCTTTTACCTAGCAAGGGAAAAATACTACCTTATTTGAAGTATTTATACACTTGTACAAATTACTTGGTATTTAAGGCATCTTACTACCATTAGCAGGAAATAAAACTTATTGCCAGGACATAAGAAGTGAATCTCATCCCTAGAAGTCACAAAAACTTTCTAAAATCTGTGCCTGGATGATCATCTCAAACAGTTCACAGGGAGATGCTCCAAACACATTCTCATCTTCATGCCCGAGGGCATCTCAGCAAGCAGCATTGCCAGAGGTGATTAAAAAGCATATTTACTCATGAAATACCCTTTAGCTGAGACATGTCACCAGAAAAAAAGGCACACGTGGTGTTTTGTTTTGTTTTGTTTTCCTTGTAGTGGTATGTCTGAATCCTGTTCCAATTGATATATTTTTTTTAATGACAGCAACACACCTCAAGGTGTTTCTCTGTTCCAAGTAAACTATGAATATTACATGTACAAGCTAATTAGAAGGTCGCACAGAGTCACAGAACAGCTGAGGTTGGAAGGGACCTCTAGAGATCATCCAGTCCAACCCCCTGCTCCAACAGGGACATCCAGAGCACGTGGCACCAGGTGGCATCCAGGCAGGTTTGGAAGATCTCCAGAGAAGGAGACTCCAAAGCCTCTCTGGGCAGCCTGTTCCAATGTTGCTATCTTCACAATTTTTTTTCGCTCAAATTCAGGCAGAATTTACCTAAATTTGCCTTTGTTTCAGTTTGTGTTCGATGCCTCTTGTCCTAACACTGACCACCACTCAAAAGAATCCGTCCCCATCCTCTTGACATTCTCGCCTAAGGTATTTGTATACACTGACAAGATCCCCCCTTAGTCTTCTCTTCTTTAGGGTAAACAGGCCCAGCTCTCTCCGCCTCTCCTCATATAAGACGCTCCAGTCCCCTAATTCTCTTGGCAGGCCTATGCTGGGCTCTCTGCAGTAGCTCCATGTCCATCTTGTACTGGGGAGCCCAGAACTGCGCACAGTACTCCAGACATGGCCTCACCGGGCTGTATAGATGGGCAGGATCCCCTCCCGCAACCTGCTGGCAACACTCCTCCTATCGCACCCCAGGATCCCAATAGTCTCCTTGGCCACGAGGGCACATTCCTGTCTCATGGCCAGTCTGCAGTCTGCCAGGACTCCCAGGTCCTTCTCTGCGGAGCTGCTTTCCAGCACGACAACCTACAACTTGTCCTGGTGGCTGGTCTTATTCCTCTTCAGGTGCCAGACTCTGCAATTGCCTTTGTTGAATTTCAGAGGGCTCCTCTCTGCCCAGCTCTCCAGCCAGACCAGGTCCCTCTGAATGGCAGCCCAGCCCTCTGGGCTGTCAGTCACTCCTCCCAGCAAACTTGCTGAGGGTGCCCTCTGTCCCCTCATCTGGGTCATTGGTGAATAAGCCCAACAAGACTGGACCCACTACTGACCTTGGGGGATGCTGCTAGCCGTAGGTCATCTATGAGACCTGGTAACACTGAGCACAGCACACTGAGCTCTGCTGTTCAGGCAGTTTTCAATGCACCCTATCTTCCCATCTAGCCTGTACTTCTTGATTTTGCCTATGAGGGTGTTCTTGGAGGCAGTCAAGGTCTCTGAAGTCAAGTCAACCACTGCAGACGAAAATTATTACCCAAAATGACAGCTTTTGGTATGTAAAATCTCTCTTCTCTCCAAATCAATGCACACTGCTCGTGAGTTGTCCTGAGGAAGGACTCAGGTGTAATGTAGCTGTCTTCTTCAGGCTTACAAAGGGAGTTATACTGAGGCTGGGGCTCAACAGAGTTCAGCCTACACGGTGCTCAACTGCAAAACACAACAAGCACACTTACACTTCCAGAAAAGTAAGGGAAATATCCCCCAAAACCACATTTCAAAAGCAAAGAGAATTCAAAGACAACTAGAATCATTCAATATAGTAGTACAATTTATCCAAAAGCTGATTTTCCAGTACAAGGTTAACATGCTATTTTATTTCTTAAAAATTCCCACAGGAAACTAAAGATGGTGCAAGTCTCATGCTGGCTGATATACAAAGTCTCAGAAATACTGCAAAAGAGTCGCTTCAAAAAGTTGACTGTGACTGTCTAGAGCAGTATTAATCCTGATTCTGAAGTGAGACCCTTTGATTTTCATTCTATTAAATGTCAAGCAATCTGAAACACTTCATACCACCCAGAAAGTGCAACTCTTCCCAGAATGATGCAAAGCATCTTGCTTAAACAGTAATCTTCACTTGGGAGACTGAAAAGGGAGCTAATTTAGGCCCTAAAATGAGATCTGCTGTTCCTCTTAGCTGCAATTTTAATTGCAGTATTTTACAGCAACTTCTTTTACTTGCATGTTCAAGTCGCCATCCTGCCTTCCTGAAAATGCAATTTTTCATCTCAAGCACAAACAATAGCTAAAAAAATTTGCATATATTAGACAAACTTCTCATCCTTTCAGCATTTATAAAGTCTCTGGTACCCTGGGCTAACAGTTCACACAACAAATAAGCATGTTTTTAAATGCCCTTTAAAGCTGTTTTTGCTAAAATTTTGCAAGATAAAAACCAAGGTTTGCGTTTCACGGTAGCTCTTGCCAGCCAACCATCGGTGTACCAAAATGGATCTCCTGCATCTTGGGAACTGTTCGTAACCTGGAGAACAACCACCCATGAGGTGACTACCCCATTCCCAATCTTCCAAGGCCAAGATACTCTGCACTGGGAAGCAGAGGAGTTATTTCAGTGTAACAACTGTGGCCGCAGCTCGTCTCCTCTTCCTCAACGAGGATACAAACATCATCTTTCCAAACAAAATACTAATAATGTGGCTGCGATTTCATTTCAGGCAGGAGAGGGCAGCAAATAAGCCCTTTTGTACATCAGGGAGTGAAAAGTCAAGCAACCTCACTTTCAGACTTCATGAAAGGTGAGCCCAGAAAGTTAATGAAAACTGAAGCTTCCCTGTTTCCATAAAAGGAAAGCAAATGAAGCTGCTCCTCATCCCACCAAAACCTCCTTCCCCACAGATGGAGACCTTCCCTTTCCTCCACAAAGCCCTCTGCCAGAAGCCAGGACAGCCCAGGCTTCTCCTGGACTTACCTCAGTGTATCCTCTGCAAAGCTTTTATCCCAGAACTCTCGTGGGAACTAATAATTCTGTCAGATTTTGTGGGGCTTTTGGTCTTCCTCTGAGGAGATCTTCCCTCATGGACACAACCACCATCG